TGTGTGTGTGTGTGTGTGTGTGTGTGTGTGTGTATGTGTGTGTGTGTGTGTGTAAACAGTAAAATGTAAATTATGTGCAAAACTATATTAGTTGTTGGAACTAAGTTGGAAAAATAAATATGAAGGTCAATTAAATAATAAAACGTGGGTAAAGCTCTCCTTTTTTAATTTAATTGGTTGCATTTTTAATTGAATTTATTTATTATTTATTTTATTATTTATTTAAGTCCATTTATTTATTTCTGCTTTTTTTTCTAGTCATGTCACTTTGGGTCCTCCATACTTGAGAACTTGGACGAGGTAATTTAATGTCTGAATCAGGTGTGTTGGAGCAGGAAAAACATAAAACCTGTAGGGCTGCGGCCCTCGAGGACCAGGATTGCCCACCCCTGGTTTAGATTTTTCACAATTAATCAACAACAAAAAGTTATTTTTTGTCTCAACTGTACTCTTTTAAAAAAACTTAAGGGTACAGTTGAGACACCATTAAAAATGCTTGAAAGTCAACAAGTCAATCATTGCCAATGTAATAAACTATATAAAAACAATTAACAGTGTTAAACACTTAATATGTGCTTTTATTTCATTTACATTGACTCTAGCATAGGTTAAAAGGGGAAAAAAACAGCAAAACAAATTTAATATTTAACAGATGCATAATCATTTATTGATTAATATACCTTTGCTTTACTAAATTTTCTACAGTTCACATGAATGTTTTGCAAATAAATAGTAGCTTAAATAATAGCTTATTTAAGGTCTAATAAAGTCAAATTAATGAAAGAACATACTTATTGCTGCTAAACACCATGCAAATCACCAGTGGGTACAGTGAGACAGTGTGTCTTTATCCCGGTGACATTATGTAATGATCTTAATGCCATGATGTCATAAAATCTATGTTTTAGGGGACAAAATAATGTTTGCATATATTCAAGTTACATATGATAAGGGTAATAAGATGTTCACTGTCGAAGGGACATGGTAAAGTCAAAATCCAGCCCGCCAAAAATACTTTTGTCGATATCTTTGCAGTGGCGCTTTTTATGGAGTTCAGATTTTCCACTAATACACACGCAAGTTTTAGCTCAAGTCAAACTGAGTCAGAAAAACTTTATAGTCTGTTAGGGACCAATGGATGTGGAGGCCATCTTGAATCAAGTTTTGACTTTAAAGTTAATCAGTTGTAGATAAATATTCTGTGATTATTTCTTAAGAGTTTTATTGAAATGCATGAAACGCTCGATGAGATCATTTGTTAAAAGTCAGTTGACTTCAGAGGTCAACGACCTGAAAACTAGAACAGACACACCTTGCAGGTCCCTCCCCCTTGTTTTCTGCTGCTCTACAGGCCTGCCTCCACAGCCCACCCTCATCCCCACAGCGGACCCTGCAGTGAACACGCAGGGTAGACGACGGGGAACCATTCAGAGCTCTCAGGAATTGACAGCTTTCTTGTAACGTTAGCTTGTTTCTCTTCCACCAGCACAGCTGCAGCACACCGGTGGTCTTGTGCTTGAACGAGGGTACGGACCACTCAGGGGGGAGGATGGGAGAAGCGCATGATTGACACTGGTAAGATATTCCTCCTGACTCTAATTGGCTGTTTCTGACCGGTCTGTAAGAGCACCGCGAGGAACCAGAGCAGCTTTGATCTGTGTCATACTGTCAGGACATAGTGACAGTTGTTATAAATATGAAAAAAATACTGATAATTTTGACAAAAGTTACCTACTGCAGCTTTAAACAACAAAGATGTTGTGCAATCAGCAGGGGCGCCAGTGAGGGGGGGTGGGTCATGCCCCCACCCCAGGAGAATAAGCTGGCCACCCTAGTTCTATCCTCTTGAGTACCCAGATTTTTCCTTTTTCAATTCCCCAGGAATAGAACCTCCATAAATATAAAAACAAACACAGATCTTTTTTTTTTACAATTAAGAGTTAAAAACATTCATTTATATTTTATTTAAAATAAATAAATAAATAAAAATTAAAAC